AACAATTATTTATTACATGCTCAACCGTATCCACTTTCATACCGTATAGCACACACATACTTATTTTCGCTTCTTACTACTACTTAGGTTCTATATTTCCACATCTATTTTTTGCAATAGTACTGATATTACTTCTTTTACTACACCTTCCAAGATACTTTTTCTTTCATTCCAACACGTTATTACTAATCTATTATCTTCTAAAACGCTTAATCCTTTTTTATACTTAGACTCACCTCATCGCGACATGCTACATCGACTTCCTTCTTGCATAGGACAGTTTATCCTGGTGTACAAAACAACTTTAATTTTAAAACCTAGCCATAGTCCAGCTAAACTTTTTCCAATTTTTTTCTTTCCTCTCACCCCTAGATCTCCGCCCCATACGACACAACACTTCGAACTAAATATTTTTAAGGCATCTTCCTTCTATTAAAATAGTTTTTACATTTTTTTTCCTCTCATTCCCACATCCTCTTATGTGTGATAACCCCTTTAGCCTTCAATTTCCTGAGATAATCCCTGGAATTGGCCTCTTTACGAAATGTGAATTCCAAATAGTTGAAGTTTTCTATCTCCTCAAGCTTCTCTACATCATTTTCTCAGCGCCCTCTTTGCCTCTATTAAAAACTATTATTTTTGTCTTGGTTTTACTGATAACTAAGTCCCTATCTTGAAAAAAATTTTCTGAACAAACTTAAGATATCTAATAATGCCTTCCTATTTAGAGCCACCAAAATACGATCATTAGCATATGCTAGCGACCAAATTCACACTACTAACACCCCTCTGACATTTCTAACACTGAACTCCTGTCTACCGTGGCTATACATATGCACAATAAAATCGGATTCAGCACACACCCTTGATAGAGACCTTTCGCACTCCAGAACCTCACCATTTACTGTCACTCTCATTATAATTTCTTCGTTCAAATTTATAATTCTCCTGACCAGATGTTTACCAATACCTCCCTTCAGCATTACTTTTCACAATTAACTTCTGTTGCTTCTGTTCCGTATAGAAAGCAGCTGTCAGGTCAACAATTTTGTGCACACCTGCTCTTTTTTTACCTTAGCCATCTATACAATGTAATGAAGAATATAAATATTGTTCATAGTGGATCGACCCTATCTAAGATCCACCTGCCCATTCGATAAGATGCCTTTTTGTCTCTACTTCATCTACAGTTCATTTAGAATCACATTTACTGCTTTCCTCTTCTTTAGTGATTAAATAGCGCATTTCACCTCTGCTGCTTCCAATTCTGGCAATCCATCCTCCGATCCTCCTTTTTTTTTTTTTTTTTTTTTTTTTAATTTTATTTTTTTTATTTATTTTTTTTATTTTTTTTTATAACCCTCAAACAGCTGCCATTAATCAATACTTGAAAACATTCATGTTTTACCGAAGAAACTTTCACACTTCATGTTTCATATTACCATTAAATCAAGGTAAAAATATAAATCTTAATAAAAATCAATTATAAAAAATATTGCTACTTAAGCTACTTAAGTTGTACTTGCCAAATTGGTAAAATAAGGAATAGTGTAAACTGCGAGCGCTCAGACGTCGGCACGAATACAGCGACAATCACTCGAGCGTAAAAGCGAAGCGAACAAGCATAGCGAGTGAGCTCTCGTCGCTCTCATCTCCACTAGGCAAGGCTGTTCTCGCTCTGCTAAATAGCTGTACAGTAACAGCAGCCGTCGTGATAAGCCATGTGGCTAATAAAAGTTGAAATATACTATTGTCAACGTGGAGAAAATACCTCAACAAGCTTTCAGGTCAAGGCGGCTGCTTCTGGCCTGAAATTACCTGAGGCCTTCACATCACAATTATAGATGCATTTTCTTACTGGTTCACTTACCTTGCTTCCAACTGACTCTACCAGACCATACAGTACATCTAAGGTTATATACAAAAGCATGTAGTCTGAGTCTGCCCTGTCCAAAGCCTTGAAACTTTAAATCCAGTCCAACGCCGCATCACTCACCAATACGTAATCTATTACCAAGCTCCCTTTTGCCCCTACTTAAGTAAACTTTCCGTCCTTATTATCCTTACCCCAGCTATTTAACTTTACTAAACCTTTGTTATCTATCATTTTTCTCATCCGATTTCCCTCACTACTTATTGTTACACCTTTACTTTTCTTGCAAATAATGACTCCTTATCTAAGTCCATAAACCACCTAACTTACCTACCTTTATATTAAAATCTCTTCGAATTACTAGCTTGTTTTTTTCATCAAAATCATAATTGTTAATAAACTCTAATATTTTCCCCCAGTTTACCTAAGTTGTACACGGACCATACAATTACTGGTCCGTAAGGTACACATTACTTCTTACACCAAAGTCAAAACTTTCACTACCTTATAATGCTTATTTTCTTATACCAATTAAAAAGCCTCCACTTACTCTACTTTTCCTACTTACTTCTTTTGCTGCAATCGCATCCCACATGAAGTTTTAAAGAGAGCTTATTTTGAATTAACTACCAGTGCTTTTACTCTAACGACGTTACATACAGGCTAACACAGTTAAAATTTCCAATAACGTTTCCTAATATTTCCTACCTTATCTAACATTTCCAATAACATCTGCCAATTTTCTCTGCAACAAATTATCTTTTTTTTTAATCACCACCTCCAAAGATTTAAATTCATCCTGTTATTTTCCAAATCCACGCTTTCCTCCCTGATTTTCTGATACCTTAATACTAACTCATTCCTTATTTTTCTAAATTCTTTGTTCTGTCCTTCTTACTGTTGCGCTGCGCGTTGCTACCACGCTTGTCGAGCTCGTATTTGTCGCACTAGACGCTCCCGCTTCACCTCCCTTGTCCGTCACCACCATTCTAATAGTCTTTATTGGGCTTTTGTCCCTACAGACTTTGTTCTATTCTTTATCTTTTTACTTTCCAGAAATTCTGCACGCTTTTGCATATACTTGACTTTATCGCAAAAAAAAAAAAAAGAAAAAAAACGCAATACACCACGCAGTCCTTACCTTTCAATCACGCTTCTCTCCGTTTCTACTCTCACGCTAAAAAATATTTCTACCTGCTTAACGAAACCTCGATAAATAATCGCGTACCCTGCTTTTTAAATAACAATTAATAATTTCTTTTTTCAGTACATCTCATGCATTTTGGTTTAATTCAGCGTTTTTCATCCTTCCCTACAGCTTTATTAACGAATATAGGCTCAAAAATTATAAAAACAACGAAAATAAACCATGGGTATCTCGAAATGCTCTAATCCATATCTCTTTCGGCCCAGCCTTTACGAAATGTTCTTATCGTTAAGTTAACTGCAAGGCAGATATTCTCTGTATGGATGAAATAGGCACATGTTTATATATGATAAAGCAGTGCTGCCAACTGGTATTTTTTGAGTTTTCAGCAGACATAATGCAGTATTGCAGTAAAGAAGATGCTTGCCCATTAGTAAATTTTAATATGTATAAAATTTCAGTATTTGGGGTCTTTACATTTGAGATGCATGAAGTACAGAGTTATGAGATGATGTTAATTATAATTGTGAATAGGTATGAAAGTTAGGATTATGAATAATCGAATTTATTATCAATAATACATTGAAGAATGGTTTATTTATAGTGTAAGTCATTGGTATTTATACCATTTCTATGCTTTTTGTTGGTGGTAAACACGAAGATTACTTCATTTTTTAATAAATGTAAATTATGAGTTACATTCTATAAGTAATTCGAAGGTAAATACAGTTTTGAACATTAACAATTAAATCCTTTTAATGGTCTAGCTAATTAACCCAATTTACTTGGTAAATAACTATTTTATTACAAAAAGTAGTATTGCTGCACAATTTAACTATTTCAAACAATTAATCAAGCCTACATTTGGCAACATTATTAGACAGTCAAGAAGAAAAATGAAAAATTACAGACGATGAAAACCTAACCTGCCTTTTCATTTTTCTTACCGTGTGTGAAAAGTAAGAAACGCAGTCATAAAATTTTATGATTTACATATTTAACGAAACAGTTACTTGATAAAGTCGTGTCATACAACTATAGTGACAGAAGCGCGCGGTGGCTCAGTCGGCTAGGTCGTGGATTGGCACGCGGGAGACCGTGGTTCGATTCCCGGCCAGTGCGACTTTTTCGGGCAAGTACCTCAGTGATTTTTTACATGTGCTTTTTCACCACGCAATGCTCCTCGTGGAGGGCTTCGGTGACCTTCGGCAGCATAATTGCCTAATTTCCCCCTACCCCCCTCCCAGTAATGGGAGGCCTCCCCATCCCTCTTCCCTTCCTTCTCCCAAGTGTTAAGTGCCCATAGTAGTGCCCTTATTGAAGGAGCCGGATGTAGAGCACTATAATAAAAAAAAAAAAAAAAAAAAAACTATAGTGACAACAAAATCTCTTCACAGTTAATTTATTCAACCTGTAGTGCTTATTTATGGCAGCAATTATACGCTTGTTTAGAAAATGCTTACCTGGTGTGTAGTCAGAAAAAACTAAAACTATGGTTTTCATTATCCAGTTCTCGAAAAACTTCTTATTATTAGTGTAAGTATAGAGCTCAAGTACAAACTTTCCAATCGAATTATTTAAAAGATTTTTTATATGAAAAATTGCTCACTTTATGCTTGTCATAGTAAATTATATCGTATACATTAGAGTTCAGCTGTTCACATGTAATCAGTTGAACCCTATGTCAGTATAGACGTTTATTTTCCTGCAGCACAAAATTTTTGGAAATTACTGTTTAGCTCTATAAAAGTTTTTTATAATAGCTGGAGACATAAATCATTCCCAAACAAAGCATAAAGGAAGGATAATTATGAATAATCCATAGAATAACATTTATGGCTCAGATTATTCTGGGTTTTCTGACTCAGATCTTTCCCTACTTATTCTCCGTAGAGACTTAGTTAAACAAAAAATTTTATCACAGAAAATTCTGTTGAAATGAGAACTTTTTCTAGGTAGTTGTTGAGAATATCAAGAATCATGGGGAATATGTTTGCTACACTTTTCAAAGGCCTCTTTGGCAAAAAAGAAATGAGAATATTGATGGTTGGACTTGACGCTGCCGGAAAAACTACTATTTTGTATAAATTAAAATTAGGAGAAATCGTTACGACTATTCCAACGATAGGTAAGAATATTTTTGTCTACGTTTAAATTGTTTTTTTTATTTTTTCATCACTGTGTATTACGCAAAAATGAAAGTTTTCTAATGGATGCTCTAAAAGTACTTAGAATTTAAATTATATTTCACATAAATGGACAGGAGTTTAATAGAAGATTTTCATCCATTTTAAAAATGAAGATCTTGACTCTTTTCTTATAAGGAAAGAAAGTCTAGCATTTTTTATATTATTCCTGTTAGTAGGCTACGTTATTTCGATTTTTATTTTAAAAAAAAATGAAATTAAAAAAAGCAATTTGACTTTTTTGTTGCTTAGAAAAGTTGATTTTTACTATTAGGAGTTACTTCACATATAATTAATCTATCGTGCTCCTAAGTGCAAATTTATGTGAATAACCGAAATTTTTATGAAAGTTGTTTAAAATGCTATGCTAACAGTTTTAACCTTAAGTAAGAAAATTAAGGCTATAAAGTGCAAGCGTTGCAAGTTGTACTTAAGACAGTGTTAAACACAAAGTTTTTACTTTAACACTTAAAAGTGTTTATTTTTTCAAGGTAAAATTTATCCATTTTATAAATTTTAAAAGTACAATACATTTATGCTTAAAAGTATAATGATCGTAGTTGATTTTTAAAATTATATATATTCTAATTACTACTTAATTAATTTTTGAGGACCAAAATGCAGTGAAAGTTTTTTTTTGCACTGACTTGTTTGCCAAAAAAAATTAATTGAATGATATATGCATCATCGATGACGTGAAAAAAAGATAAAAACTTTTTTTTTTAATTGGAAAAGTGTAATTAATTTTTTCCACAATTACAGAAGCTAATTTATACTTTCATATATTTTAAATGATCCAAAAAGTTGAAATCAGAAAATTAAATGTACCTTGAAAAATACAGCATAAAGTTTATGAAGTATTTCAGCAAAAACATACTTTTTACAATATCGTAAATTTCCAATTTATTTATTTTATGTCGTTTGTCAGATAACTTATCTGTGCTCTTAGTCATAAAAATATAAAGAAGCATATTTGCATACCGTGCAAACATCGTATCACTGAAGTGGGAAAACGAATTTGGTAAGTTATCGTTTACGGAAATTTGTTAAATTAATAAATTTATTGCAATATTAGTAAGTTCATAATTTCATCATCTTTACACCAAAAAATAATATTTGTTTTTACATTACACGTTAATAATATTTATATTTTCAAGATATTCAGTGCAATTGCTTATAATATCTAATAATTTGTGGATTATTTCTAATCTCATCGATTAACCAAAAGGTTATACATTACCTAGTCACCTTAATAAAAATATGACACTTTTTTTGTAGAGGAACCTAATTACCAATAGAAGCAGAGATTGTCGTAGATTATACTTAAAAAGAAAAAAACCTATACAAAATAAAATATCCTCGCAACAACTTACAACTGATTTACTCTTCGGCGCTCTTCGGCATCTTCATCTTCCGCAGAGAACTGAGAAAACCCCCTTAAAAAAAAAAACCAAACTAACACGCGAGAGAAAGAAAAAAAGAAGCGGAAAATTTCAAAGGCAACGGAGCACACTAGAGCCCGCACCGATGTATCCCAAGCGTCACTGTATGTTTGCCCGGCGCACGCACCGGCGCAGTGTTTGCAACCGCGGCCGCGAGCGGAGAAAAGAGTGCCGGTCGACTCGCTCGATCGGCACCTATACACTCTCCCTCCTCCGTATTATATCCTCCCACTATATCATATCCTCTCTCTCCCGGTCACACTCATTTTTCTCTCCACCTTACACTCCTCTCTTACGCCTTTATATTTTTCAATACTCTAAACTCCGTGTGTGCACAAGTCTCGCGTGTATGCTTTCTTCGCGTCTTGGAAGTTGACGATCTTTTTTTTTGCCTCCCCCCACCTATTATTATATACAGCACCGTTTTTCCTCTCCTCTTATTATACACGCTGTTGAACCCCATGGTACGGTGCGTACACGATATGCACAGCCCGCACCAGGGACTTGTTTCAACGACACGCACGACTTTATTTCCAAGCTCTTTTTCCATAACTCCACGACCCGTTGCACGGGATGTGGCAAGTCGTACCGCGGCCAACATATAATAATATTATGTATATATCTCTCGAGTGACAAACAGTTTAATCGTTGCTCTCGAGGGATTAAAATCAAAACAAGATCTTTTAGGACTCGTGTCCGGGCACACCCACGCTCCCTCCAAGCCCGTCATCGTCGTTATCATTACCTTTCTGTCGGCTTCCATCCATAATATCGCTCTGTAAGTGTACGTGGTGTTTCTCTCCTCCTCCTCCTCCTCCTCCGTGCAAGAGCTCTTGTAGGTCCTCTAACGGGACCAACCTCCGCGTGCTGCAGCACTTCTCGACGTACTAGGTATATGTACCTACTTGTGTATCCCACTTCTCCCTCTTTTCCCTTCCACGTACCTATACGTACATGGGTATAAATTGCAACTTTTATCATACACAAAGGGTAGTGGTGCACGAGTAGGGGTTCTCTTTGGAAATGTTTTCTTCTTCTTTTTTTCTTCTTATTTTTTGACTCCTAAAAAATGCAAGAGGACGCGGTCGGTGTTGCGCTTCTTCTTCTTTTTTTTTATTTCTCCGAGGCGTGTTTGCGTTATCTGTCGGTCGTTTCGTTATTCTGTATACATGCCTGATGCAGCAAGTATATAGGCTCGTGGCCCGTGTTTGAGGATTCAGGGTGTGTCGACCAACAGGTGAATGCTCGCGCGTCACAACTCTGGAGCCTCATCCCCCCGCAATAATGTAAGCTCCGTTTGCGAGGATTTACATTCCGCGCGGGTGTACACTGTTTTCCGGAAGATTATGCGAAAATTGTCCAATGAACCTGTAGTTATCTTTTGTACGTAGTCAAACTCGCTGCTTTGTTAAATGGTATATATATACACCAAACGTAGCGAAATAGCAACGTAACAACAGGGAAGAAAGCGAAGCGAGAGGAAGTCGCGGTATATACAGGCCAACTCGGATTTCAGGGTCTTCGAGGTATAGTAAAGTCAACGACGCCCTGAAGACTCCGATTACACGCGACGAAAGCAACAACTGCAGGTATACATTATATACTCGGTTTCCTCCCGTTGCGCAACTCGTCGTGCTTATCGTCTCGAAAGCTGTTGCAGGTCTCATTCGCGTGGGAGAAGTGGTATACGTACGCGCGAATCTTCCAATGGGGAGACAGGGTTTTACGTAAACTGTTTTCCCGCCTCTCGTTTTTTTTCTTTTTTCATACGAGGTGCGTGATTTATTCACGAGCTCAACAAGCTGCATATTTGTATTTTTTTTTCCTTTTTTTTTTTTT